ACTACCTTCCTACTTCTCTCTCTCTCTCTCTCTCTCTCTCTCTTTCTCTCTCTCTCTCTAGAGTTGCTGAATTCCGTGTTCTGATTTGGGTTTTCTTCTTTTTTTCTCCATGAACGCAGGCTCCTCCTGTTGCAGCTTCTTTTACTTGTTTCATTTCAAACCCTTCAGAAGAGGATGAACTCAAGAAAGAGAAGGGGGATTTTCTCTTAAAGTCCCTAAAATTTGTTGGATCGATCCTTTTCTGCCTTTCTCTCTCACTTGCATTGGCCATTGGAGCTGCTTATGCTTCTACTGATTCTATCAAAGCCTCAAGGTTCGGCCTCAAAATTGCAGAGGCCATGAGAAAGTCGGGTTGGGCGGATGAAGCCATTGTTTTTGCATTGGCCATTCTTCCAGTGATCGAGCTTCGCGGTGCTATTCCAGTTGGTTATTGGATGCATCTCAAACCTCTTCACATCACACTATTATCGGTGATTGGGTATGTTGCATCATCGACACGCACTTCATACTTTTCTGGATTTAATTTGCTATTTGTTTACCGAGATTGCTTGACTCCTGATAGTGATTTATACTTCTGCATTTGTTTCTCGAGAAATGTTTGTTAATCTTGTCTGTCTAGTTTGATATATACATGGTTTCAAGTAGTTGTTAAATTGCTTAGCTGAAAAATGAAGTCAATTTATTGTTGGCCAATGACAATCCTGTTTCGTGAGGGATTGGTGGCCTTGGTTGCATCTTGAGAGAGATTCGGTGATTCCTTTAGAATCCATTTTGCGGTATCAGATAAGTCTGCTAAATTAAAAGATTGATCAATGAGAAATATATTTGGACAAGGCCAAGAGTCTGGGAATGAGATACTTGGTTTTTCAGGAGAAATGTTTTTGAGTATACCTTCTCGAATCTGTGTATCTTCTCAATTGATGGTATCTTTAGCTTCAGATAAATTTCTTAAATCAGTGCGACTTGGTGATGAAATATGCTTCTTGAAATGGAACTTGTGATCTTGTTTTCATCTTCTGTGTTAGCTAAACCGCTCGAAACAATGACCCAAGTTTGCCTTTGTTTCTATAGAGGGAATTAGTAGCCATGTTTGCACGCAACAGACAATGTTATATGACTTCGCTGCTGAATTCTAATGCAGAAATATGGTTCCTGTACCCATAATCTTAATGTACTTGAAAAGGTTAGCCAACTTTCTTGCTCAAAGGAATGCATCTGCCTCGAAATTCATGGACCTTCTCTTTGAGAGAGCTAGAGAGAAAGCAGGCCCCGTTGAGGAGTTTCAATGGCTCGGGCTCATGCTATTTGTCGCCATACCATTTCCGGGAACTGGTGCATGGACTGGAGCCATTGTTGCTTCCATTTTAGACATGCCTTTCTGGTCTGCTGTTTCCGCTAACTTCTTTGGGGTCGTTTTGGCTGGGCTTTTGGTTAATTTACTTGTGAACCTTGGCCTCAAATATGCCATTGTAACGGGTATCATATTATTCTTTGTATCTACTGTTATGTGGAGTGTTTTAAGGAACCTAAAGAAATCGTTAGATTCAAACTAACAGCTCTTCTCTGCAATTTGTATTCCTCTTATTAGCAAGGTTATTTGCGTTCTTCAAGTGTAATGAGGACATGATTTAATATGCTATTTTCTACTTGTGGACATTAGTTTAGTCGGATTGAATCTCATGATAATCTGATTTGGAAGTACCTTGGTGAATTTCTTGAATGAAAACAGTTCTAAATTATTGAATAACTCAGGCAACCAAGAGAAAGCCTAGTAAAACTGATCTCTTCAATTCTTAACTGCACATCTGGGTGCAAATGCCTATTTTAGCCTACAGAAAAATTGAGGTTTTCTTAACCTTTTGTTGTATAAGTTTGCATAATTTTCGATCAAAATAATGACCAACAACATAGCTAAAACAAATAACAATAAGAAAACCAAACAATTTGGGTAAACAAAAGACTGAATTTTTTTTCAATTATCAATGAAAAAGAGGAGAAAGTGTAGAGTACCAAAAAAAAGTCAAAAATCAAATCAAGGGTTTTCCTACAAGCTTAAGATGTTAGTTTTTTTTGTCATTTCGTGCTTGTCTCGGTCTACTCCTTGATTGACTTAATGGGCCTTCTTCCCACAATACAAACCCCAACCCTTGAGAATGTTCATCCTGGTGCAACCAAGGTCTCTTTTTTTTTTTCCCTTCGGTGGGGAGGATTGGATGGTTGAAAATGTGTCATTGTTTAGGCATAAAGTTCAAAATAAAATATCTGGAATGTTGTGACACACTTTTATCTATTGGATTTCATATCTAATGGTCGAAAGTGATTGTGACCTCCTTGTACCAAAATAAATGGTTTCATAATATACAATCCATATTATTATTGTGATATGTGTAGTATTGTGATATGTGTAGGGTTCCATGAAAAGAAAAAAGAGTAATAGGTTTCCAAAGAAACCACTAATTTCACGAGAGGTTTGTTGGAGAGTAGGTTTTTGTTGGGGGAGATAATGTAAATTTTTTACCAAGAGAGAAATAGTATGGTTGATGTAACGATCTTTCTTATTTCACAGCTTTGTAAATATTTTAAGAAAAAATTATCAAGACGTATCTAAGAGGTGCCTCATTTAACATTTTACTTGTATCTTTTGACTTAATTTCAAATCTCACCGAAATATCGATAATCATGACCTAGAATAAGTGATAAAATGTTAGATAGTTGATAAAACAATATGTATTTTGATAAATTTATAATACTTGTTATTATTGGGGGTTGTTATTCGTGACTATTTTATTTGCCATGAGACCTGTAGGTGGGTGGAATTATTGTTAATTGCATATTTGCTACTCCTACCCATGTTTTGTGTATGATTTTCTTTTGGGTAGTCTAGCAGGGAAAGGTTCTCTAATATTATAGAAATGGAACTCATGACATCAAATTGTTGCGACCTACCACCCTGACTAACTAGCTTTAGCGCATTCTTAATTTCGCGTAAGACTAATGGAAATGAGGTTGCAAACAATAAAAATATGGGATTGACAATATTTTTATGTTTGGTGAATATTCATATTTAGTTTCAATAAGCGATAAAATGAAGAAAAGTAGACTTAGGTAGTCTGATCATTTGCAACATCAACCTAGAATAATACTCATTAGGATGGATGATTTGGTACAAGTAGGAGGCTTTAAAGGGCAAGGAGAAAACCCTAAAGGACATGGATAGAAATATTGAGAAAAGATATGGCGAGTCAAATGAAGGATATAACTATTGATAGAGTAGAATGATAAAACATAATTTGTATAACCGAGCCCAAATAATTGAAATAAAACTCGGATGATCATGAGATGGTGATTCATATTTAACACAAATATGATAATGCTCTGCCAATGTCAACTAGGAATAGTTGGAAGAGCTTTCATTGTTTATGTACCTTGTACCATGTGTATAATGTATATTCAAAACAAAAAGTACCAGGTGTATAATGCATTTAGATATAATTATTATATTATAATACTTTATTTTTCTTCTTTTGCCAAATTTGATGCTAACTGCATATCTACCAATAAGTAACAGTTAGGCACAAAGTTTCTAAGCTGCCGTTTCCATGGATTACCATGAACTGACAGCCCTCCAAACGTCAATTGATATTGTTTATAGGGCTGTTAGAAACTCTTGTCAAAAAAAAAAAAAAAACTGCGACAAGCAACGACTTTCAAATAGTTCATGTACTCTCAATTAACTAATGTTTGAGTGCTGCAATTACGGAAGTCGCATTTTCCACAAAACAAACACGCCTTTAACGAGGAAAGATGCAACATTTCAATCAAGTTCCGCTATTAATATTGTTTGAAGAGTGATATTATGCTTCCCCGAGAGCATACAATGTACAGTTACTCCGTCATGCGAAAGAGCTAGTTAAGAGGACTTTTCATTTTGAAATTCTGGAATCCATTTTAAAATCATGATTACTTTTTAAAAAGTTGAATTTTATGTTCTTCAATACTTGATTTCTCCGTTCTAAAAATTAGACAGACATATACGTCCAATCATGGGACATTATTTTTCTAAGCACAATAGCACATACACTGCAGGATTGATGTTTTTATGAGGTTAGTTGCTAGGTTGGAGAGATTACATTTCCAAACTTTGGGAGATTTATCCTAGGAGAGATAGAACTATTTTATATTTTACTCATATAGTTTGATTTAATTTAAAAATATCCATTTAAAAAATACATGATCATGAATAGGAATAGTTGCAAATATCTAAAAAAAAATTAATAGGACATCTCTCATAGGTATTTCGATCAATTTTTCTCAAAATTTTGAAGTCCTAAAAGTACTTTTAAATTGGATTTTACTAGAGGGATTAAATGGACAATATGGTCCCTCAATAACATACGATCCTTTAACTTATTTGAAAGCAAAATAAGTATGATGGTAAAATTCTCTACCATATCATATAGAAACAAGGGCATGGGTCAGCATTTTATAACCACATTATTAACTTCAAAATCAGACTCTTAAAACACATTCCATACACCTTTTTAAAAGTTTACACAAGGGCGAGGCCCTAAACAGTCAAATTAAGGTGCGCCTTAAAAATTCACGAGAAGAGATCGTTTTGATGTTAAAAACCCTAAATTCTATCATCTCAACTTCAAGATTTATGGACATGAGAAAAAATAGATTTTAAGTCTTGGAAATAGTGTATCTTGTGATATATTATCCAGACCATCAATTTTCAAGTTTTTATAGTATTTAGAAATCTGCTTGATCTATATTATTTTTTAATGTTTAAATTTTTATAATTAGAAATGGAAATAAATTTTTAGGTCATTATAAAAATTTCTAGTACTAAAACAATATAGTCCACGCTATTTGAAGGTGTGTCTAACTTTGATTATTTCGGACCTCAGACGTATATACAAACCACACACTTTAAAAAAGAAGGGCGGAGGGATTTTATATGGTGTTTACCACATTATGATTTAAAGTATAAATGTTGAAAAATTAAGTCTTTAAACCATCATGTTCTTGCATTATCAACACACCAAAAATCATGAGCACATGTGTCACAAAGCTCATCTGCATACTATTCATTTTCGGGATTGTATATAATAAGACTGTTTAATGCAAAATTTGTTAACTTAGATGTGTTAAAAAATTCGAAAAAATTTCTTTTCAAGTTTAAGCTTGATCAATTGACTAAATGCAACCATCTATTTTCACATAAAATAATCAAAATTAATTGTGCCTACCTTGTACTGAAAGTAAATAGCCTTTCTGTACTTGATACCTCACCTTCTATCAAATATTTATATTATTTTGGTGGAGACATAATACCGAGCCTAAGGTAATGCATATATGGGTTGACATCCTCCACAACCATAACCCCGTCACTAGTTATGTGACTTGTATCTTTAGGTGAGTATTGTAGCCTTGGACTTATAAACTTTATTTAGAGATGTTGTTTCGGTGTTGAAAACTTTATCATGGCTTTAAAATCTCTTTTTATTCTCAGTTATAAAATTTTAAATTTTAAATATGGTACAAATCGAACATGGTAAGATATATTTGAAAATCTAAAAAATAGACGGTCCAGATAATTTGTTACAAGATCTACTATTTTTTAGATTTGAATTCTTTTTTCTTTTTATGTATAATCATCTAAAGGTTGAGATGATCAGTTAGAGGATTCTCCTACACTAAATCACTCTCCACTGTACGATTTTTTAGGTGCACTCTACTTCAATAGTATAAGGTGGCAGCCTTATGTAAAATTGTTTCTATATCTTTTCTTTGCAACTTGGAAATATATACAATGAAAGAGCACCCAGCCTCTCGTATGGCCCTTGACTCAAACTCCCAGTCAAGGGCCAAGGGCGGCGGCCCTTTTGAAAGCAACATGCCCCATTCGCCCATTGTTATTATTAAAAGGAAAAGTTTATACAAGGTGTCAACCTTATGATGTATGGTACACCTAAAAAACCCACTAAAAACTATTATTTCTATGTGAAAAACCGTCAAATTGATTTTTTTTCATGGACATGAAAAAAGATATTTCTAATCTTAAAAACAGTTTATTTTTTAACACATTATCTGGATTGTATATTTTCAAGATTTTTAAATGTTTATAGATTTGTTTCATCAACTCCATTTCTAGATTTTAAATTTCACAATTGAAAACAACAATAGATTTTCATATCATCGCAATGCTTTACGGTACTAAAACTGCATTTTCAACATGGTTTTGAGTTGCACCTTATTTTAAGAGTATAAAGTTGACACCTTATACAAACCTCACTCTCTTGCCAAGAATATCAATCCATTTTGTGATTCTTTTCCAATGCTTCAAACGAAATGAGAGGGTTCTTATTTGAATTTTTTGTATCATACGTTGTTGAGTCTGCTTGACTAACACCAGTGTTTCAATACGGGGCAGGCAATCCAGATTGGTAAATCAAATTGATTATCTTGTTTAAGAATTAGTCCCAAAAAAGAATTTCAATAATACTTTTAATTTTAAAACATAAAATAAAAAAATAAAATAGTTGGGAACTAGTTGACTCTGCCAAACTAGTTCAACTCATTCTATGGTACATTCGCCTAGTTTTCTATCATAACCTAGCAGGTTTATGAGAGTCAGATTCAATTTCGGTGATGCCTCCAAAATCTATTTTTTTCCCTTGTTATGAAATTCAAATTTTCAAAAATAATATAGATTGAGGATAAATACTTGGAAATCTTGTAAATCATTAACTATTACACAATTCTCAAGATTTAATTTTTCTTTTGTTTTTATAATCAACTGCAGACTTTTCCAACATCGAAACAATCTCTAAAGTCTAAAGGATTTTTAATTTGCACCTTATTTCAATAGTATAATATTGAAAACTTATATGAATTTTTTTTTTTTTTTTCTGAGTAAGTAGCTTTTTTTTTTTTTCTTTTGAAAAGGGAAAATGGAAAAAGAAATTTCTTATATAGTAGGACCAAATTCGGTATTCGCAAATTTTCATGGGTAAATTTAACGTCCGGCGAAAAAAACTTAAAAAGGTCTGGATATAAAGACAAAGGGGATAGAGAGGTTTAGGCCTTTGAGGTTCCTCAAAAGCCAAAACGACCTCTCCCTCTCTCTGTTTCTCTCTCTAAAAAGTTACCACCTGCCAATGGATTGTCTTCCCTCTAAAGTCGAAATACAGATCAGGCCTCAATGCCTTAGCAGAATATGGCGATTTATAACGCCGGAGCTCCATTTCTCTCTCTGTCGTCGTCCCTCGTTTCTCACTCATCATCCATCGCAGATGGTTTCCCGATTAACCCACAAATTGTCGCTGCAAAACCCATAATCAGAGCCTTGCAGAGATGGGATGGAAAGAACAGAGGGAGATGGGTTCAGTTGGGTTTTAGAGAGAGAAGAGAGAGAAGGGGTTTTGTTGCTGCCTCTTCAGCTGACTCGGCGCCTTCGTCTTCGCAATGGTGGTCTACTCTCATGCCGAGCAAAGCAAGCGAATCCCCCTCTTTGAGCGACATAGTCTGGCCAGCTGCAGGTTGAGCTTTTTTCTCTCCCTTTATTGTTTAACTTTCTTAGAGAGAGAGAAAGAGAGAGAGAGAGAGAGAGAGAGAGAGAGAGAGAGAGAGAGAGAGAGTAAGTAACGTAAACGTAACGAACGTAACTAAACTTAAAATTAAAATTAATAACTAAATAAGTACGTACTATTATTACTTTAATTAAATAATAAGAGAGTAGTA